TCCACACTCCCTACGGAAAGTGTTCTTTCAGATCAATAACAAGGTTGACTTCCTAGCGATAAGATTTAAGGATGTATTTCCGGTTTGACCTACCCTATGGCGGCACTCCGGAGTTAAGTTTGTAAAATCTGAAATGATGGGTTACACTCATGAAAATATAATCAAATTGTTGATTATATTTTTGACCAAAATAACGGTAGTTGATAAATATGAAAATATGAGATATTTTGATTATATTTATTAATTGAGAAGGTCACGGTTCAATTTGTGATATTTTGACCTACTCTACGGCGGCACTATATTCGTGGTAAATTGAATTATCGTTGGCACCTAAAATTAAAACATGATTTATGTATTTTTCATGTGCATCATGCATCATATTTAATTGTGCCTAAATTCACATGTTTTGATATTCATGCACATAAATTGATTAGATGAACATTCTACTTATTTCTAGCAATATGTCAAATCTTAAAATCACACTACATGAAACTGAAACATTGACTAGAGATAAACTATGCAAAGTGGTAAAGTAACATAAACAAGTTACATTCATGTGATGAATATAAGTTTGTCCTAAATGGAGGATTGTCCTCCTGTCCCTAACGAAACCACTGTAGCTAACTATTAGCTAGGGTTGTACGTGGTAATTCACAAGAAGCTTGAACGCATGGAGACAGCTTATAAGATAATGCAGTCATCAGATACCGTATCTAATCCATAAAATAAAAAGGTTGGCTAAATACTGTAAGAGCCCTGAGTAAAAGACAAAAGGAAATCGTTTCCACCAAAATAAAGGAAAGAATCAAGCAAATATGATTTGCTAATTCTGAAAACATGTTTAGTAAAAAGGGTGATTCCTTATTCCTGGTAGTGGATTCGAGAATTGCTACTCATGTTTGTTTTCTTTATTAAGTCTTAGTTCTTACAAGGAAATTGTTTCCCGAAATAAAGAAAGGAACTCAAGTAAATATGATTTGCTAGTTCTAAAAACATGTTTAGTAAAAGGGTGACTCCTTATCCTGAATAGTTGATTCAGGAGAAACTAATCATGTTTGTTTTCTTTATTAAGTTTTAGCCCTTAAATGGAAATTATTTCCACCTAAACAAAGAAAAAGAATCAAAGTAAATAAGATTTACTAATTCTAGAAACATCTTTAGTAGAGGGTGATTCCTCGTCTTGGATAGTTGATTCGGGAGCAACTAACCATGTTTTGGTGTTCTTTGCAAAATTTTAGTTCTAACAAAGAACTTACCGTCAGGGACTACACGATGAAAGTGGGAATACCGCAAGGATATCGGCAAAAGCAGTGGGAGAAGTTAGACTTCAATTTTTGGAAATACCTTGTTGTGAACAATGTTTATTTCCCTCCAAGCATAAAGAGAAATTTGATTTCTAATTCTAAATTATTTGAACAATTGCCTTTAATAATAATCTAGTCCACATCTTTCAGAATTGTTCCGATATATGTTCTGGATATTTACAAAATGGTTTATATCATTTAAACCGATGCCTGGCTCACTATGAAATGTTGAAAAGTTCAAAAGGTTGCAGAACCTAAGAATAAGAAGCAAAGGATCTCTCACGATAAATAACACATGTATATGTGGCATCTTAGACTTGGTCATATTAGCCTAAACTAGATTTAAAGACTGGTAAATGATGGTCCTTTATGCGAACTAAAAGTTAGTAAGCTTCCAGCCTATGAATCTTGTATGGGATGCAAAATGACCACGGGGCCTTTCATGTCGAAAGGAGAAAGAGCCACAGAACCTCTTCAGCTAATACATTCGGATGTATGTGGACCATTAAACGTCCAAGATAAAGAAGGTTACGAATATTTCATCACTTTTATTGATGATTATTCGAGATATGATTATGCTTACCTAATGCAACGGAAATCTGAAACTTTTAGAAAGTTTAGAGAGTTCTAAGCAAAGTTGAATAACAGTTAGGTAAACCAATCAAGACACTTTGATTAGATCGAGGGGGTGAATACCTGGACTAAGAGTTTCAGGATTTCTTGATTGAAGAAGGTGTGGTATCCCAATTGACTGTGCCCGGTACACCACAGCAAAATAGTGTAGCCAACAAGAGAAATCGGACTTTGCTCGACATGATAAGATCCATGTTGAGTTATTCTTCATTTCCTGCTTCGTTATGGGATTATGCCCTAAGAACCACCATGTATATTCAGAATCTAGTACCATCTAAGTCTGTACCAAAAACACCCCTAGAGTTGTGGAATGGTCAAAAGCTAGTTTTGAAGCATATTCGCATATGGGGGTGTCCGGCTCATGTAATGAAACAATAGACTCGGAAGTTGGAACCAAGATCATAAATATACATGTTTGTGGGATATGCAATGGGGACAAGAGGATGATTATTTTATATAGTCAC